TCTCCAGTCATTATTAACCCTACTTTGTAAACTTATATCAAAGTTTTTCTTCATTACCCATTCAAGCCGTCTCACCCTTGGAAAGTTAAGAATTAACATAAAAACACAGTTCCTAGACAGGGTGAGGAACGGCAGTTTGTTATACAATCACCAAAATAGTGCTTTAGTTTTGTAAAACCAACAACCTCCTATCAAACATCCAAAACTCATCGCCTAAAATAATCTGTTTACAAATCATTTAATAATAATCAAGTAACTATAAGACTAATAATGGTTGGAGACGGCTTGAATGGGTAATGAAGAAAAACTTTAATATAGTAAAGTAGGGTTAATAACTGTTGGAGACAGCTTGAATGGGTAATGAAGAAAAACTTTAATATAAGTTTACAAAGTAGGGTTAATAATGACTGGAGACGGCTTGAATGGGTAATGAAGAAAAACTTTAATATAAGTTTACAAAGTAGGGTTAATAATGACTGGAGCATTACAGCCAGAACTGATACAGTTAAGGCCTATCTACTCATCTATTATTGCGAAACAGCCTTTAATAACTTACATTCTCCAAACTTTAACACACATAATCAAAGATATGTAAATAATTACATCAACACAAACCCCCACACTATTTAATCCAAGCTTTCCAACACAGATGATAACACACTATCAGACCAACACGACATGCTTAACAGGAAAGTATATGGTGAAACATCACGTTATAATTTTTGTTTGGTGTATCAGTTCTGGCTGTAATGCTATATGGTGAAACATCACGTTATAATTTTTGTTTGGTGTATCAGTTCTGGCTGTAATGCTATATGGTGAAACATCACGTTATAATTTTTGTTTGGTGTTATGGATTTAAGATTTTTTCCAAAATTCTTTAGGATTGTTATTTGAGTTATCTATACTGTTACAGAAATCTAACCACTTAATTTATATTAGTGTTTGATATTACGTTTTATTTATGCATGAATTATATTAATTTGAATTTTAAGGTTTATGACGCGTGTTATGTAGTATTGTTTTATGGGGCGTCTACGTTATGTGTTTAATGCATGGGTTTCAGTTGTAAGTGTTCAAAGATTACTTCTGTTACTTTTCTACACGTGTCAAGTTATTTTTTATTTTCTATAGTGTTAGTTGGAGTTAGGTGTCACGAGATACACCTGCCAGTTTCGCGTAGTTCTATATTGGTAGGAGTTCCTCGTGCATGTACAATGGGTTATCTGTGCTCTGCCCACCACGAGTTCGAAACCCGGTTTGTAGCGTTGTAAGTCGGCAGATATACCGCTGTGCCACTGGATGGCAGTGGCTATGGCGGTCACATATTCTTTTCTATTTGTTTTTTTTTTTTTTTTGGCTAGTTTGCCTCACAAAAAAAGATGCGCTCACGTACGTGGATAAGTAATAACACCCAGATACAGACCCTCACTTAGTATGTGTGTAAAATTTCAGGTTTCTAGGTTCTTTCCTCTTGGAGTTCTGGCGGTCACACACACAGACCCACCCTTTTATTATTATAATTACTGTCTAATAAATTTGTTATTTGTTTTCTTAATTTGTTGGGTGGTGGGCAGAGCACCCTTTGTGTAGGTAGTTTCGTGCTTAACTATAAACAAACAGACTGCTTGAGAATTTGAAGAAAGAGGCGAAACAGTTATCAAACTAAAATTGAGATTTATCAAAAAGTAAATTAAGAAACTAACAAATTAACAAAACAAAATAATGGAAAACTAACAATTAAAAGGAAGCTATTATAAACTATACACCTGGAAAAAAGTTCGATGACTAATTATCAATGTGTGGGTCATGATTGACATTTTGTAATGTGATTTGACAATTCAATAACGTTTTTGAGCTTTCACTGACAATACTTATTAAAGATAATTTTAAGCGTGAAAACTGCCCATATTTTGATGTCATGATATGTAAATTAAAAATTGTTATTTTACGGTGATAATCTTGTTTTCTTGTGCCCAATAATGCATAATTTCATTTGATAAACACGTTTAGATTGAATGGTAATTTATAATCAGTCACAAAAACGTCGAATCTGAATCACTTGAAAAAGTGCTTAACTTTTTTCCAGGTGTATATTATAAAGGTAATAATTTTTCATATGTTTTAGATCAAAGCCACATTGGGCTACTTACTCTGTCCATCGCAGGGAATCTAACCTCAGATTTTAGCGTTGTAAGTTCGTAAGCTTACCGCTGTACAACTGTGGTACTTCACAAGCGGTTAGATGTTTTCCTTTACATACGAACAAAGATCTAATGTCTTAACGATAACAGATTCCTCTCAGATGTTACAATCGAAATCTAATTTCGACATCTAGACTGTTACGGGCAAAAACTACAGTTAACATGTAGGATGTTACAAGAAAATAAAAAAAAATGTTTACGTGCGAGCTGCTGCCAGTAAGAACTGATGTCTACATCTAATGCGTTACGATCAAAACTGATGTTTACTTTTGGTTTCACCAAGTTACTCGTAATTCAAAGTAATGTTAATGTTTCCGATGTTACGTGCAAAATTATTGTTGACAAGAAATTTGATCGATAAATCACAGTATGCCAAACTGTTACCCGTGACCCTTATAATAAATTATTTGATAATAAATGAATAAATTATATGCATATATAATGAGCCACGCTTTAGAATTATAAATAGCGTAGTGACTACGCTTTCTCCCTTTTATTTAAATTATATTTATATTTAATGTATCTCGAAATATCTTATTTGCTTACGATAGAAAGACTGATATCTTTGGAATACCACTTAGTCTTACCTGTATATGTGGACATACGTCGAAAGTTGGTTTCACAATACTAGTCCTTTAGTAAAACAGGTTGTTTCTCTGAACAGTCTAGACGTATACAAACAACAATAGCTACAGGCCTGACTTGATTTTCTCCCATTATGACTGAATATTTCGCAAAGCCGTGTCTACCAGTCAGAGCTCTTAACAACGAAAAAACATTATGTTTATCGACGAGGAACTAGTCTGTAATTGGTTGATTTCTATGACGTCTTCCTATGTTGACTTTCAAAATTTGTAGCTCATCCTGTATGGGCTCCTTTCCTTACACCATGCCCTATTCTACTTATGACGTCCAAAAATACGTCTCTATTATAATTAATTTACTTTATTCTATGTAAACTATAACTAATTCGAATTCGATGACGAGGAACCCACTTTGAGACTAATAATGGCTGGAGACGGCTTGAATGGGTAATGAAGAAAAACTTTAATATAAGTTGCTGTT